TGGTAAGTTTTGAATTGTAGTGTTATATGGTAAGTTTTGAATTGTAGTGTTATATGGTAAGTTTTGAATTGTAGTGTTATATGGTATGTTGTTTGGTAAGTTTTGAATTTAATTCAAAACTTACCATATAACACTACGTATTGTTATATAGTATGTTGTTTGGTACGTTTTGAATATAGTATGTTGTTTGGTACGTTTTGAATGATAGTGTTATATGGTAAGTTTTGAATGATAGTGATATATGGTATGTTGTTTGGTAAGTTTTGAATGATAGTGTTATATGGTAAATTTTGAATTGTAGTGTTATATGGTATATTGTTTGGTAAGTTTTGGATGTTAGTGTTATATGTGTTTATAAAGTCTACTTTGTGTTGAATGCTATTCATTAGTTACAATAATAGCAAGATTACTCAACTAATTTCTAACCATTATAATTTGTTTGATTTTGTTGACTGGTATGTAGAATTATCTACATTATTAAATAAATTATTTTTTATTTATTATCTATGTAGCTAGCTTGTCTTGATCAGAGGTTATTGGTAATGTACATTTGACATAGTATAAAAAATCTGTGTTATATACATGTACTAGGAGAACCCTACAAAACACCTGTGGTCAAGTTAAATCAGTATCTTTATTGCAATGGAACTTCTTTAAATACAGTATTTTTAGAATAACACAAAAGTATTGTAATTGCAGTTGCTGAAATCTTCAAGTCCATTTGTTTTAGGCCTAACATTAGTTAAGCCTTTATTTCATAAACAGGTAAATTAACACTGTAACTTGTGTACATTTTTTTGCTTTAGTTTAGTTAAGGTTAAACTTTACCGTACCTAATACTATCAATAAATACTTATAATATTATTCTATGACTTAACATTAGACCTTTTTTTAAAAACTGTGATAAGCTTTTAATATGTTGTTGTACAAAATGTCTACAAGAGTATATTTACATGTTTTTTGTTTACGTCGTTTGAAATGAAGTGCGTGTGCATTTAGATAGTAAGGTATGCGTGCATTTTCAGGATGGACAGAAACTGAGTATTATTATGAGTATCATTTTTTCAAAACAGTTTTACGCTTAATATCATATCAAAATTTAAAAAAAAAAGAAATGTTATTCTTTTGCTCCTCAGAATATCAGAGAATGTTCCTTTAAGTTCAGCTCTGGCCAAATATATTTCACCAAAACACTCCAATGTTGAAGTACAACAACAACTGATGTTTTACCAAGCAGCTGGCATGAAAGCTGTAAAAGTTTTACTGCAAGCTGAATTTGTATCTTCCAGAAAAACAAGGTTAGTTCCTTTAAATTTGTTTCTTTGTTTGATATTCTTACTATTACTTTTGTCAATTATGTATTTGTAACTGTTTTTAAGTGACTATAGATAATGTTTAATTAGTTGTTACATGCTGAAATCTGATAGATAAAAATGTTTCTGTAGGAAAAGTTCAAATTCTTTTATTGATCTGAAGATTCAGAGTTTTTGCTGTTGATGACCTCTAGTATGTTAGAATAAATTTGAACAGCGAGACGTTAAACATTTGCCTTACAGTTAGATGATGTAAACTGAAGCAGTAAACACCGTATCATATATATATTCATCAGGTACGATGAAAGAGATATTTTATTCTGGCCATCAGTTGATGAATTCATTTTACATTTCTTAACAACAGTTCTTAAAAGTAAATATAAAGTCACAAAGGGAAAGACAATACCATTAAATGCCGTTGTAGTTGTTCAACGTTTGACCACATTATACAGATGTGAATAGTTTTGTTTTCTCGTACACCTTTCAAGGTACTATGAATTGGACGTATCTGAGTCTCTGAAAGAGAATCTTCGTGGAAAGACTATTGTAGAATACCCTGTCCTCTATGTTGTTCTCAGTAACCATGCCTCAGGTTATTCTGTTATTGATCCAGGTGAGCCCAGTATGGATGATGAAACAATTAGTAGTACATTTTAAATATTTTCAAACTGAAATTATAATTATACACGTATCATGATTCTAATCCATACCGATTAGTCATTGTAAAAGCATATCTACTCGGTTAAACCAGATATTGCACTAACCTACTGTACTTTTGTACGTTGTTCGTTAATCCTTTACGTGTTGGTAGCCAAGCGGATAAGATTATAACTAGACAAAATATTGAAAAGCTACCTAGAAAATAAATTATTGTAGCAAAATTTGTATAAAGACTTGATTTGGTTTATTGGTTTTAAGGTATTATGAATAAATTTATGTAACAAGTTTCATATACAGCTTTAGAATGAGTGTCTGTCTGTGTGTTGGTGGTAATGTATACAGCTTTAGAATGAGCGTCTGTCTTTGAGTTGGTGGTAATGTATACAGCTTTAGAATGAGTGTCTGTCTGTGAGTTGGTGGTAATGTATACAGTTTAGAATGAGTGTCTGTCTGTAAGTTGGTGGTAATGTATACAGCTTTAGAATGAGCGTCTGTCTTTGAGTTGGTGGTAATGTATTAAAGTTCAAATGTGAACTTTCTGTAAAATAATCTTAAAATACAAAACACTATGACCTGAGCATATTTCAAAATTTATTTAACATTATAATTGCAGTTTTTTGCCATCTTTGTAAATTAGAATATGTACATTATATCAGAAATAAGGCAAAATAGTTGTAGGAAAAGAATGAGAAGAAAATAAACAAAATAGTATGTAGTTTGATATCTTTGTTGCCTATGCGGTTAACTACATATTTCTTAGGTTAGTCTTAAATCAAAATCTTGTGCCATTAATGCAGAATAAGCAAAAAATTAATGAAAAGGTTAAGTTGTCAATCTAACAAAGAGCACTACCTTGAAATGTCATTCTCTTAAAATAAAAATATCAAAATCTTGGTAATTGTTTAAACTATTCTTTAATTAAGACTAACTTAAATCTCCTAAACGGAGGATACTTCACAAGATATTACTGAGGTTGTGGATGAAAATATCATTAACTCCCTCACTGTGACTGGGACAAATGTTTCCCATTGTCTTCCTCTGCTGGTTCCAGGTTCATCACCTTGACTATCATCACTAGATGAAGAGCTAGCATCCTCTTGTCTCACTTCCTCTTCATTATCGAGGGTTTGAACACCACTTGACTCACTTTCACTATTTTCTAAACTATCGGAGGCAAGTGCATCAAGCGTATTGACATTGTATTTAGGGTTACAAATTGCCGCTCTAGCGATGCGGACATGCAGTTGTCGTACATTCCGCATAGGCATCTTGTTAGTTACTGAAGTGGAAAACATTGAGGGAAACCATATATCAACATTAGGTGGGATGCCAATAAATACTTTCCGACTCATTTTACTCCCATACTTTCTGCACGGCAATTTTGAATGAAAATGGGAAGTATTTGTCCCAGTTGCAGTGTGAGAGGGTGGGAGCACTGGGAAATGTATGTCACATTGAAAGGGTGAAGTTACCCAAACAACAATCTTATTATTATAGGTTTTTGTATTTACTAATATACAATTATTTCTAGTGAAATGAAAGTTTTTCTTCATTACCCATTCAAGCTGTCTCCAACCATTATTAGATCATTATTAATAGTGTATATGTTGTACAAATTTAAATTGTTTTGTCTTTTAGACAGTTCATTCTTCTAATAATGAACTGTTTTATCCTGTTAGACAATGGCAGCAAATCAGAAACAGAAAGTAGTGAAGAATCGGAGAGTGACAGTGAAGATTCGGAGAGTGACAGTGAAGATACGGAGAGTGATAAAAAAGATATGGTGAGCGATAAAAAAGATGCGGAGAGTGATAACAAAGATATGGAGAGTGATAAAAAAGATACGGTGAGCGATAAAAAAGATACGGTGAGAGATAAAAAAGATACGGTGAGCGATAACAAAGATACGGAGAGCGATAACAAAGATGCGGAGAGCGATAACAAAGATGCGGAGAGCGATAACAAAGACGCGGAGAGCGATAACAAAGATGCGGTAAGCGCGAACAAAGACACGGAGAGTGATAACAAAGACGCGGAGAGTGATAACAAAGATGCGGAGAGTGATAAAAAAGATACAGAGAGTGATAACAAAGATGCGGTAAGCGATAACAAAGATGCGGTAAGCGATAACAAAAACGCGGAGAATGATGATAAAGATGCGGAGAGTGATGATAAAGATGCGGAGAGCGATAAAAAAGATGCGGAGAGCGATAACAAAGCTGCGGAGAGCGATAACAAAGCTGCGGAGAGCGATAACAAAGATGCAGAGAGCGATAACAAAGATGCAGAGAGCGATAACAAAGATTCAGAGAGTGATAACAACGATTCAGAGAGTGATAACAAAGATGCGGAGAGTGATAAAAAAGATGCGGAGAGTGATAACAAAGATATGGTGAGTCAGAGTTCATCGAAACCCGTAGCAGAAGTAAACAAAGATGAAGTAATGTAATGAAAGGTTTCTGTATTTTTTTATTTTTCACGAGATATAGCTTCTATGAAGTAGGTGCCTAACATTACTATCAAAACTCCCATGAATATTTGTTTATATTTTTTTATTAAAGTCCTGCAGTTTTATTCAAAATAACTATATAGATGTTAGCTTACGACCATGTATGTACATTTTTCTAAAGAATATCCTGGTGATGTTTTTAGTTTTCCAGTCTGTTCAATGAAAAACATCTTATTTTAATATATATCTGACACTCATTTTACACCAGAAGCAGGTTCTGGAACATCCTTCAGATTACATCCCCAGTTACTTAAAAAAACCGTTAGACTTGAGTTGCTCCCCAGCCAATAGTCTTCCATGATGACTAAACATTCAACGCTTGAGAGCAGATAATGCACAACAGATTTAGAAATACTAATAAACATAGCAACAAGTAAATATACAAAATCTGTCAAACGTTCGACAACATTGTGTTAGAAAAAATAACTACGAGAAAAGCTAGTTTTTTTTAAAATTACCTCCTTTACATTTGTTAGTGCAAAATCTTTTTAAGGAAGTCAAAAGTCCTTGGAGTAACACATACAATCATGATGCTTGTGGTTATGTAAAACATGCAGCCCGTATAACATGTATCCACGTACTTTTACGAAAGAAACACCAGGGTGTAAAATATACGACAAATTGTCGGTCGTTGAGGAAACAGATGAATAAGTATGATGTCATTTAATAACTGAGGGTAAACGGACATAAATGATGGAGTGTTTAGTTTTTGTATGTGTTCAGATGCTTTTCAGTTATCATTACTTTCTGAAATATGCAAAATATAATGAGCTTACAGATTATAAGAGCAATTTTTTATAGATATATAGTGCATAACACTAATAATGTATAAAATGTGATTTAATTGCGGTACAAAATGAAAGTCACTTTTCTAAACGGTATAATCATTGTGGTTTCAAAGATTCTGTGACATTTACATATTATTGGTTTTTTATACTGTTTACGCAGTTATGCTTAATCACGAAGTCCTGTGAGATGGTTCTTTGTTTTACTGAGCTGTTGCTTTCTGAATCTAGGCTATCATTTGTGGGTTTTACTGAACTGTTGCTTTCTGAATCTTGGCCATCTGATGTGGGATTTGCTGAAATGTTGCTTTGTGAATCTTGGCTATCATTTGTGGGTTTTACTGAACTGTTGCTTTCTGAATCTTGGCCATCTGATGTGGGATTTGCTGAAATGTTGCTTTGTGAATCTTGGCTATCATTTGTGGGTTTTACTGAACTGTTGCTTTCTGAATCTTGGCCATCTGTTGTGGGATTTGCTGAAATGTTGCTTTGTGAATCTTGGCTATCATTTGTGGGTTTTGCTGAACTGTTGCTTTCTGAATCTTGGCCATCTGTTGTGGGATTTGCTGAAATATTGCTTTCTGAATCTTTGCCATCTGTTGTGGGTTTTTCTGAAATGTTGCTTCCCAAATCTTATGCCATCATTTGTGGGTTTTGCTGAACTGTTGCTTACTGAATCTTAGCCATCTGTCGTGGGATTTGCTGAAATGTTGCTTTGTGAATCTCTGCCATGTATTGTAGGATTTGGTGAAATCTTGCTTTCCGAGTTTACCTTTTGAAAGATAGCATAATATGTGTATGCTCTTTTAGCTTTTGAATGATAGTGTAACACATTTAATGTTGGATAGATTTTGAATGATAGTATTATCTGTGTTTACAAAGTCTACTTTGTGTTGTAGGCTATTCATTAGTTACACTTTAACATTAATTGTAAAAATGTCAATAATGGCAAGAGTTAAGCTGATTTCGAACCATTATAAGTTTTTGGTTTTGTTAGACCGATACGTAAAATTATTTGCAAAACTAGTGAGAAAATATACCCAGCTTGACTTCTATGTTGATGATAAATTCCCTATGAACCACTGGGGGTCCTGAACTATAGGATACAGATTAGTTGAGGGTTAGTATCTAATAGTAACAACAACAAAAAGTAACTTGTTAGCCTTGTGGTTCTAACAGGCTATTAAACAATGATGGATGCCAGACCATTGTTTAGTCTTATCACACATAGTTGCCCAGTTTAGTGTACTTATTGTATCCTTTCCAGTTGTCTCATCCACCAGAGGGTCAGCGATAAGTTTACGTATTTACAACGCTAAAAATCTGGGGTTCAGTTCATGTGGTGGACAGAGTGCAGGTAGCCCAAACTGGACGTCCAAGTATCTATGTAAATTTGTTATGGTTCTCAATGACCACTACGATTGACTTTAATGAAAACAACAACAGATGTTAAAGTTCCCATCATGATTATTTAAAAAATATGAATTCATGTAACAAAACAATTATCCAGAAATTAAGCTTTTCAAATATAAAAATTACACAATGGGCTATCTGTGCTGTGCCCATCACTGGCATCGAAACCCAGTTTTTGGCATTATAAACCTTCAGCTTTACCACAGGACACAAACCATAAACTCTTAGATCCATAGTCTGGCATGTTAACCACTAGGACTTTTAATTAGATACCCTAATATACATTGACAATTAAATACTTTAGTGGGTAGTTATTTTTTATATATATGGATTAAAAATAATTTTAAACCCCGTAATTCTGTTCTTTCTGAATGACAAAACACTATTTTAAAAATTTCAAATACAAATGTTGCCCACAATCAAGTAAGAACTAAGAAATAATAGTGAACACAAGTTGCAAAATTTTTTTATTTACAAATAATTAAAACAGTTCTCGTTAATCCCTACGGTAATGTCAATATTATTGTTTGAGGAGTTTAGGCTGGTACAATATTCATTTGTAAGTTTTATATCAAGCTTTAATAATTAAGTTTAAGCTAAATTTATCTGCAGAACTGAGACAAAATAATTAACTCTCTTCAGTCTGTAAAATTTAACAACGTACTTTATTTCATGTTGTTTTTATGGTAAAAGTAATTCAGTAGCTACATTTGGACAAACTGCATATTTATATTTATTGTCACAAGAACCAAATGAACATTTAAAAAAAAACAACATAAAAACAAAGAAAATGTACATTGTACAACCAAAAATAAAAGTTTGGGGATTAGATTTTCACTCAAAATGAATAATAAAAAGAAGATATAAATAACATCAATCAGTTGCAAAATAACTATAAAAAGATAAAGCATTTCAATTCTTAAGGAAACCGAGTCATATTCAGATGTTTAGTTAATAATAAAATACGCAGGGTGGTGGATATTGAATCGATACTCCAATAATTAATATTGTTTTTAAGAACACTACACCACAATTTTTTTTGCCTGTAAGTCATCCTGAAATAAATTTTCTACAGAACACTTCGTACGTTTCATATAAACTGAATAACGATCTTTAATCGGCACAAAATTAAGGTTTACAGATACGTCGGATTTTTTTAGCTTTAACGATTCCATAATATATAGAAAATTAGGAATGTGTTGGTTAACTGGAATTTGCCAAGTATTATCACAGAAAAAAAAAAAATTTAATTTTGAATAATTCCCATGTTGTGTCATTTATTCATTAGTCAGCCTCCTACATATTGTGAAAATACTTTCTATAAATAAGCACTAATGTTTCCAAGCATACTAGCTCCCGAGTTTTTATTTTAGTAACACTCATAAGATTTACCAATGTAAGTGTGGATTGATATCTTCCTGTTATTCCTCATAATTAATACATCCAAATTTTTAAGTCTAGATCTGGTTGGAATTTATGAAATATAATGGGAGTTAAGTTTTTAGGTGGACCCAAGGCATCTCAAAGACCATCAATATAAAGTTTAGGTAATAATAGGAGAAATTCAAAAAATAATTAGCCACATATTGTTTTAGAGCAGATCTAGAAAAAAATAGTCGAATTTAATATTTATTTTAAAAGTAAACAGACTGTTTTAGACATTTCGAGCTAAAGAACTGATAAATTCAAAATAATTTGTGACTGGCTAAATATTAAACAGCAGTTTAAGACAGAAATGAGATGTTTCAAGAAATTACATTGAAGTACCTTATATTTATTCTTTCCTCTCTGCAAAGTCAGCACAACTACATAAAGCTTTGGTACCGTATCCGCGCGATTCAAAAATACATAGAAGTGCCAATCCTTGATGTCCTCTATCAGCTTATAACTTGATTATATGAAGAGTGTGAAAAAAAGTTTAATTTAAAAAATGTCACTTCATAATAATTGGTTCATGTCTCGAGTCTCATACTCTGCTTTCTTATACTTTAAAGAAGTGTTCCACATAATATCAACCACATTGAGAAACTAGAGAAATACTTATTCAAACTTGTCAGTTCACCAGGGACTGTGTCAGAAACACACAAGGATAAGGACCGGAAAAGAAACAGAATTAATTGGTTCATGTCTCGAGTCTCATACTCTGCTTTCTTATATTTTAAAGAAGTGTTCCACATAATATCAACCACATTGAGAAACTAGAGAAATACTTATTCAAACTTGTCAGTTCACCAGGGACTGTGTCAGAAACACACAAGGATAAGGACCGGAAAAGAAACAGAATCAATTGGTTCATGCTAAATCACTTAATCAACTGTTGTCGTATTTACAAAAACGGAGGGTCCAAGGAAATATTCTGTGCCAAACTGGGAATCAAAATTATTAAATAAAAGAAATCAATACTGGAATGGATCATCACTAAGGAAGTAATTGTATTAAGGAATCAAGTGAGGAGGTACTAATCAAAAGGTTGGTTGCAGAAAAGTGTACAGTTTGCTTTGTCAGTCAATAATGTTGACTGTTGACTGATGCCTACTTATTGCAGTGTACATCAAACAAAATTTACAATAACAAAGAGGATGGACGACCTTACAAACTGTTACATTCCACACGTCATAGCTACTGGTTTGGCCCGAAATAAATCACTGGTATTTTCACAGAGCCCTATAATCCAGGTGCTTTCCAACAGAATCCATCACTGTTCATGTTATAATACATGTTTGAGGACAAAAGATTCAAATCACAACTAAATAATATTTTGGTTTACAAAGTTAGTTGGTAATACATTATAAAATCAGGTTTGTTACAGAATTTTTTTACGTTCATTGGATAAAAGAATCTGCTCAAGTATCCAGAAAATTTTCGGATGAGCCACTTACGAAAATGGGTTATGGAAATAGTTTCTGTTCTAGTAATTCACTTTATTCTGATAAATAGTAAATTATGCTTTCCTGTTCTGCAAACTATTGCTTTGAATTATTATGACACACAGTACCAATAATCACTAAATAAACTTTACTAAAGGTTAAACAGCAGAATTGTTTAATAACCTCCATATTGGGCACTACTGTAATAAACATTATCAAACTTCCCTCCAGCACTGAAAAGATTTAAGGTTTTTTTATTTGTAAATACTATTAACAATTAAAGGAAAAACTGTAACAGCTGATATTCTAATGAATGGCTAACAATTTATCACTTAAAAACAACAAAGTCACCATTAGCGTATTTTCTAATCAGTTCTTTTTAGTCATTTTAAACAAAAATTCAGAGTGAAGCTATGTATATACAAGACTATCAAGAAATATTTTAAGGAACTCATGTAAACCAATCATGAAATTAACATCACAACGTAACAGCACCATTTTCTAATAGATGAGCCATAAGGCACAGGTTCCTTTATTTTACACATGGAAGCTATTGACCAGCACTAGTGTAAGGCTTAATAATAATTTTATACAGTTACATCACCAATACATATGTACACATATACAGAAATGTATACGAATATTTACACATTTGAATATTTTAACCTACCTTTACTCATAAACTACAAACCTCAGAGTAGGAACTATACATATCTCACCTTTCTCGTAAAAAAAAAGTATTTTATATCTAACACGTATGTATAGTGTAAAATAAAAAAAGGAATTCAATGCAGTAACAGCTGTTTATTAGACATTTTCCTCCTTGGTTTATATCTCTAATTTTGATAAAAAGTTTAGAAAAAATTACCATTACACTCCAGACATATATATAATTTTTTTTATATTTTAATCACTTTGAGGCTTCCTCAGGGTTAATATAAAGGGTCGTTTTTTCTAAACTTTTTATCGAAATGTGTAAATCCTCCAGTATGCACTACAAATTTTGAAAGACAACAAAAAATATCCTAACTTTGATATTTTTCTTATAACAAAAAATCAATCAAAGCATTTCATGTGGTTTTTCTACATTTTACAAAATGATATTTCGAGTGAATAACTTTCATGCATAAAGGACATTTCTTTTCATTACTTTATAAATTTGGCAACGAGACACAGATGTAGAAAAACGAAAGAGAGAAAGGATGATGATGATGAAAAAAAAAGGAGCATACTCTCGTAGAAGTTCTTATAATTGAGATTGTGATTGCCGATTTCTCAATGTTTTCTGAACCATAGAAGTCTTTACTAAGTTTGTAATCTCTGCGCTCCACTGGTGATTATTTCACTTTCCAAAAAGTGGTCTCACGAAAACTTCTACACCAATCTCTACTTATGACTTCACGTCCCCTCTTTACGATCTGGTTTAAAATGGTTTCCATCAACTGAAGTTGTAAAGATTAAATTTTTTACAAATTTTGAGCACCAGGAGAGTTCCATATTGTCACTTCTTCACTCAAATGTCATCAGATTGGCTGGTGGCTAAACAACAAAAATTACAATTACGATACATAGAAAAATAGAAAATGAATGCTTTGCCAATCAAAAGGCATAGAAAACATTAAGGGTTTATTTACTGACAAAACAACTTACTTTATTTGATAGGTAATGTTTCCGGCTACCACCCCCCTTCAAATCTAAACAGATGAGTGCCCGGGTCTTACAGCCCCTTGTCTCACCAGTAGTGTTCTACATGATGACCATTGTTACGGACTATTGGTCTTCGGCAAAATTACCACTGCAGGATGCTTTTGGGCAATACACTGAGATCATTGTTGTTCCCTCATTACATACCTTCCAAGTTTTATAAGTTGTGTGTGGAAGGACTCATGAAGATACGTTTGAGAAACCCAAAGATACAGATGTTTGATAAGAGCATAGCAGGAATCCCCAATCGTACTTGCATCTTACGTAAAAATTGGCATGTTAACTGGATGCTTTGTCCTACTGGAACTGTGTTTCAATTGTATCCAATGAAAGTGTTCCCTCATTCTTTAGTGATGTCAACATATTAGCCCTATAATATGTAGAGTACACTTTGGCATTTTTGCTGCCACTCACAGAAATCCTTTAAGCAAAAATAAAAATAATTTGTGAGATGCGCTATACATCACCTTAAATGTTGCATCCATCACCAGCAGAACAATAATAAAATTGGCTGGACTCTTGCAGACACTTCAGTAGGCATATGCTTTGCCAATGTGACAACTTATTATCTTTAATCATATGCTAGAAGTCGTACAGCTTTGGACAACTGGTTTACTGCTCAACCACGTTCTTTAAGAGAAGTTTACGAACACAGCCATTGTGTTGCTTTTGTAGGCCTGAATCTGCGTGAATTATCTTGTTTACGGTTCCAAAGGACAACTGTAGGCAACTGTGGTTTGGGTTACTCCTAGTGACAAACTCTTACTTTCTTCACAACCTCTGGTGTGCAACTGGTAGCATGTTATGTAGTAGCCTACTGTAACACCACAATTATATATAAACTTACCATCAGAGACCTTTGTGTTAGAAATACCTGTAATTAAACTCGGGGGGGGGGGGATAAAACTTAGGCAACACTTGAACTTACAAATCATCTCATTTCATATCGAACTGCAACAAGAGAATAAGGGTTTTTAACCTATTTAGTGACAGGCCACAGAAGTGGTCAGGAGCAAGGTGATTGGATATGGAAACTGTTACCATAGGACATGAACAACCATCAGTATTATTTGAATAATATGAGAATAAAAATAAAAACATTTCATACTGCAATAAAAAGTTCTGTTAAGGTATTTACTTACACTGCAAAGCATAGACACAACAGCTAGAAATATACATAGTCTGGAAAGAAATTAATTGGGATAATGCACTAAAAACAACTTATGCTAATAAAAAAACACCCTATATCACAACTAGATAATCAGGTAATAATCAATACATTCTGTGAAAGTAATTTTTTTTATAAATTTTTATGATCAAAGCAAATATGATTCAAAAGACAACTGTCATGCTGATTCCCCCTAAGTTTTCTTTCATTATGTTTGATATAACCTAAAATCAAAGGTATCAATTACAAAATTATTTTTTAAGTATAGAAGCTTCAAGTCTACTATATATATATTTTATCCCTTCAAAATTACCGGAAAAATTTAAGGAAAAATTACTCACTAATAAATTAAATTAAAAACACATTAAAGGCTTGCATTTTATGTAAATGTTTTTCATAGTATTTTCAATATAGATAACAGATGTTACTTTGTTGATTTTTTTTTATTGTTCCCAGGTTTTGAAATTTGAATTCCACCATTTGCTTTAAAAAAAGTTTAACAATACCAGATGACTCTTCTAGCTTTATTTTATAATAAATACTTGTTCAATCGGCAAAATCACAGACCCAATCTCGAGTTCATGATAACTTTAAAAAATTACTTTTACCAACATGTGCATATAACATGACTGTCTTTTTTTTTCTGCTCTAATACTAGCCTTGCATTCAGTGATATGCACATGGGGTGGCTGGGTAGGCTCAAGTCCCTGCCCTTATTTCGCTGTCATAAAAACTATCAACAACTATGAAAAGGTACACCTGATTCCATACTTTACTTGTTGAGAGTTACAAGGAAAAAAAAAGATTTTAGTGTTAAAATGAAAGACAGACATGAACTTGTAGGTCTTTACAGTGAAATAATATTAGTGATATGCTTTGAAGTGTTAATACACAATATTTCACTTTTTAGTGTTAGATCCTCAATAATGTTTATAACAGCAGTTGAAGAGGAATATAAGACGATGTGTTTCTATGGTTTTTTACCCTATGTGTATCATAGGCAACCCACAGTCTCAAAAAAATAATAAACGAGGCTTGCCTCGCAATGCTTAAAAAGTACCATCTTTTGTTAATTGTTTCTCAGTGATTTCTTAGATTAAAATTAATATACATTTAATGGGTAAAAATTATCTTTACATTTTTCTTTGACTGCATGGAACATATGAAAAGCAGAGAGCATTAAAAGGGCAGGGACTCGTACCTGGTTATCATATTGACTGGTAGCATCGTGAAGGTGACGGCACCACTCAACAGCCTTGGCTTTGGTTCCAGTTCGGAACTTGTAGACGTTCCCTTTCAATGGATCACTTAGCTGGAAAGTATCGGACTGCTGGGAGTTTTCACTTCGAACAACCATCCAGCCCACAATTGATGACATCTTACTTGCAGTGGACTTGAACTGCTCAGAGACATGAATTGGTGTACAAAACCATAACAAAAGAAAACATGGTATTAAAGAATAAACATACCATCTGTTGTTGTTCGTTACGCAAGTGCTCATCAAATTTTTTTAAAAACTTTATATTAATTTACTTTTTGTTGAAATATGATAGAAAGTCTAAAAACTGAAATACACATATTTGTTTAGCATATAAGACCTTAAATAAGAGTTGTTTGTATTATAGAATGTTATAGAAGAGTTAAAGGGGGATCTGAGATATTTAACCCTTTAAACATGGGCGGATAAGATTACCATCGACTTGGGAAGGATATTTATGGAACAAAAATATGGTAACTCTGAGCATTCCTCTAGAAAACCTCATAAGATTTTGTTAAAATTTATAAGTATTTTCTACAAGCGTTACGAAAGGGTTAATAGAATTGGTTCCTATTTTACAAGTTAAACGTGAAGTAAGAAACAGATTTTTTTCTTTGAAGGGTGAATATTTGGTTGATTTGCTTTTAATTTTATAAAAGAAAGCACTTATAACTGTAAGTCTAAGCAAGTTAAGGAAGGAATGCTTATAGTACAGACAATTAAACAAACAGTGATGAAAACAAAAATGATTTAATTAAACAGAAACTACATATATGAACATAACCACACTAGTTCAACCTCAATGTAAGTTTTTGAATAAAATAAAAAAGTGTTTATCCTCCTGTTATCAATGAAGTTCATGTTTATATCAACTGATGTTTACTGATCTATCCTAAAAAGAAACATTAATTGAAGGTAATTTTTGTGATACCCAATTATTTCAATTCAAGTCGACTAAATATCTTCTGTCAGATGTTCAGCAAAATTGCATTTTCCTCGCTTTGTGATTTAATTATAATACAAGTTCCATTTATATATATATTTTTTTATAAAGAAGTAATTTCCTTATAACTTTACTGTTCTAGACCTATAAACATATACGGGGTATCTGAAAGATCTGGAAACGCAGATGATCTGTAACTTTTCTTAACTTTAACATATGTGACTGATTATTGCAATGTCAAACCATTAGAAAGTTGAGTTAATCCCAATATTAATCCACACTTGTTTTGAATTACAATGACAGCAGGTGTAAAATCTGTTGAAGTGCTTATGGTTCCACACTTTTTGGACACCATGTATACATTACCAAAAGTTAATCCACACTTTTTGGATACCATATATACATTATCAAAACAGGAAAAGTAGAATGCCACAGAAAATCTGCTCAATAAATCACTGTTCAAAATGGTGATTTGTTTTCACATTACCAAACAATTAATGTACTCGGTTCTTTAATAAATTCTTTTTTTTTTTTTTGCTTAAGAATTTAGAGATCAACAACAAACACTTGAGTTGGATTTTAAAATCCTGCCAGCTACTGTACAATAAATATGTATAATTTTAGTAATGTCAGTGACATTATATTTGATCAACTGAAACTTACATCTGCCCTTTCATGTCCTCTCAGAGTTTTTGGAGAAAAGTAAATCAAGGATGTTCCCCACAGGCTTACCCAATACCTCATCCAAGATGAAACCTAAAACAACACATAGTCATAAGGGTTTGTTTTTTTTACACTTATATATATAATTAAACCTTACACACTTATAAAGAGAAAAATTAGTCTAGTTATGTGTGCTGTAATCCCTTCTGGTTAAACAAGTTCAGCTTTATTTTGAGAAAGTGTTTTAATTTTTAATAAATCTCAATTCCAAACACTTGTTGTTGTTTTTTTTTCACTTGTTCATAACTTAATAAACTAAGAGCTTGCTTTATTTTAATATCCAGTAATAAATGCATTGTTATTACAAAACCATATGTGGCAATGGTGAAAATGTTAAAAAGAAAGGAATAATGCAAAAATCACATTATAAAAATTGAATAGAAAAGTATGACCCATAATTCCCTGCCTTAAAAAAACGAGTTACAAATGAATATTGCATCAACATGGGCAATAACTTTTTATAATCCATAAAGCTAAGGCTATATACAGTTTAACAACCAGTTTCATCTTTCACTATAGTTCAACCATAACTTACACCCATAACAACTAACGCAAATAAAACAAGGATAACTTTACTTTTCACACTTACTATGTTTAAGTGCAAATATATCCAATGAACTATTTGTGCTGTGTTCGCAATGGGAATTGGACCCTGAATTTTAATGTTATAGGCCCAGAAGGTTACCATTTAAGACAATAAATCATAACTTACAAAATGAGTTAGAAAAAGATGACAAGAGGTAGGAATAAAATTAAAAATTATCCCATAAAAGTAGCTAGTAGTAACAACGAAAGGTAAAATTTATTAAAGAGCTATGAAGTTTAAAGTTTGAATACTTTAACTGCAAATTAGCAAGTAATTAATTAGGTCTTAGCTTACATATCTGAAAATATACCCCACCCCCTTTAAATGATTAAATAGGTCAATAGGCTAAATAGTTTTTCTTTTTTTGTGTTAATAGATAACAATAAAAACTTAATCAGCAAGAAGAAGAACAAATAAGCAAATAATGAAATAAAAGACAATGATTTATAAGCACAATGAAGTGTGTTTTTTTGGGGGGGAGGGAACATGTTACTTACTTCGACAGAACATTGATCATACTTGAAGGAAGACAGACCAATGTTCCGTCAAAACATGTAGTATGTTCCCCCAAAATAAAACCACTTTATTATGTTTATAAATCTTTGTATGTCATTTCACTATTATTTTAGCATAATGTCCTTCCATACACAAGAAAATAAATGTTTATAATATTATAATAATATTTCACGCACAAGCTTTAGAAACTAAAGGATACTAAGACTTGTTTGTTTTGAATTTCGTGCAAAGCTACACGAGGGCTATCTGCACTAGCTGTCCCGAATTTAGCAGTGTAAGACTAGAGGGAAGGCAACTAGTCATCACCACCCACCGCCAACTCTTGGGCTACCAACGAATAGTGGGATTGACCATCACATTATAATGCCCCCACGGCTGAAAGGGCGAGCATGTTTGGTGGGCCGGGGATTAGAACCCGTGACTCTCAGATTGCGAGTCGAGCGCCCTAACCACCTGGCTATGCTGGGCCGATAGTAAGACTTAAACAACTAAAAATAATAGTGTTTGTATAAATAACCAAGAAAGAAACAAATGTCACCTATAACACCAAAATCTCACTTACTGCTGGTTTTTTGCCTTCCTTGAGCAATGTTTTCCGCTTAAGACATCCTTGAAACCTAATTTGTCCATCAATGAATTCTTGGGGTAGCTCTTCTGAGCCACTGATTACAGAAAAAATTAAACTTGTTAAGATCAAATTATCAAAAATTTAAATACATTCACAAAAGCAATAAAATGAATTACGTTTTTACTGTGTTTCGACAATTTTTTGGAAAAGAAAAACATCTTTTCTTTATTCTTTAATTTCTCTACCCACAAGCTTAATTTAAATATATATATATATAGTTCTGGCATCAAAAGAAAACAATTAGGACTTTAGATCTATAAATATGGCTAATTCTATCAATAAAAAAATCACAAAATGTATCTTTTACCTCTGAGCGACATCTGTACAAAATATTGATGTACAATGTCTTATGACTCTCAAAAAAAGCCAATCTTTCCATGATTCTTACATTGATTTTTTTGGGACAGTTTTATCTTTTATTTAAGTCAAATGGTAACAAGTTAATAAAGAAACAATCTGAACTTTGTTCACAATCACCTTATGCACAACTACTACTCAAGACTTATTATGTAACTAAGTTTGGCAACAAAAAAAATGAAAAAATTAATATTTTCCCATGAACTTTAATCATCTTAATATTTTTCTGTATTGCTAATACCAAACTGTTTAATTATTAAACTTGTTAACAAAAAGAAATACTGACTTTTCACGACCATAGAGGTCACTTCAATCTTAATTAGAATTTTGGAGGCAGGCCTACAAAATGACCAAGTTCAATAATCCAAAATTATTTTTTAAATCTCAATATATCACTGGCTACCGACTGTGACTAGTATAAGTAAATTACTGTATTCAATCCATTTACACACTCAGAACTCCAACTTGACCAGTTAAATGATTGCATGGAAATAAACAAGGCATTTGACTAGAGAAAAGATCTAATCTGTGTTTAAATGTTAAGCTAAGAAAGAAAAATGTGTCAATAAAGCACATTTACTAGGGCCGTTGAAAGAAATAAACATCTAGATAAAAACAAACCCACCTGGTATGTTTAAGTGGAAGGAAGAAATCAGAGCTTTCGTCCACATGCTCTAATCCATTATTAATTTCTGTAGATGAAAAAACAACAACACAAAAGAGATTATATAAAAGGTACATAAATAACCAAAATAGCTTATACTAGTAACAAGCTTACATTGACCCCTTGCTTATCCTAGTGGCATACTTAGTATGTCTACTATTTCTGTTTCCAGACACAAGGATAAGGATTTTGTGAGTCTGATGATGTAAGAAAATATACGATAAATCAATCAAATACTTTGCCAAATATTCCAATTTTCCTAGGATCAAAAAAATGCCTGGTTATGATAAAAAAAATATTCTCTTAGACTTCTGAAATGGTACTAGTTAAATAAAAATCCTGAAACATCTGTAAACAATGAATTATTTGATTTAAAATTTGAGCTAAATAACGGAAACACTGTTCTGAAGATACCTCAATGACAAAACGTAAAAAATAAGTTTTTCAAGCCTTACCTCCTTGATCTGGACCTAAAGATGATGCCCTCGAAAGCTGCGGAGATATTTCTAAAACACTGTCATCTAGTAGATGTCTCAATTTACATACATTTGTTGACTGAAGACTATAAAATAACAAGTTAGTAGTGTTTTTTATTATTTTGTTATTATAACAACAACACTGTAGCAACCATTTAAATCTAGAAATGTTGTATTAGTAAGTTAGATCACTGTGAAAATAAAAATAAAAAATAACGACTTCTGTTGTTGACAGAAAGACAAAAAAAAAGTTTTAGTTAGCCATTACAGGTTGAATTATTATAATGTGTT